ATCGTTTGGCGACCGCTTCAATTGTTGGCCTAATTGCTGCCTCCTTCCATCCGTCCTCTCTAAGCATTTGTGTAATTTCGCACAGGATCTCTTCATCTGATACTCCTACCTGGTTCTTGGCAGCAGCGTACGCCGCCAGCTCTTCCACATTCAAGTTTGGAACGTTAATCTCCATTGCCTAATTCGTTTTGGACGTCTCGTTCTTTGCCTGCTAATATGCAGGGCTTCTAGTCGCTCTTCGATCCGCTCGCGCAGTCCTTAACTGCGGCCTACTCCTCGTTAGTGAGGACTAGTAGGGCTTACCTTTGGCTGTACTTCTCTTCTAGCTGGTTCTGAACAGCGTTTGGCTGTTGTCGTGTCGCGTCCCTAGGAAGACTCGCGTCTTGCCGTCTCGCTCGTGGGATCTTGTCTCTAATTAAGAGTAATCGCACGGCCTGCACCCCGTCTGATAGAGGATTGACAGGACTTCTTACTACAACGTCCGCTTCTAGCTAACTGTACGCTAGGCCCGAGTGGCCTTTAGGTAGTTTATCACGCGACGTTGCGCCTACGGCTCGGCTTTCCAAGACACAGTAGGACTTCCTAGACAGGTCCTGGGCGACTAAATCGCCTACTGTCTCTCACGGCTGAACTTCCTGCGAAGCTCTGCCCTAGGTGTACTGTCTTGCGACGGTCTACCTTCTCGCTGCACTGAAGGCCTTTCGTACCTATTGCAGCACTAACTCTGTGTTACTAGCTCGCACTAACAACACGCTCTAAAACTTAGTTAGAAGATAGTCTGCCTAAGGCTTATGTCTAATTGGGATCGAATACAAAATGTAAGGGGCTGCGCTCTAGGGAGCAATCGCGAGGTATACAAGAGGTTGTATTTAATAAGGAGCTATCTACTCTGCTTACGTGGTGTTTATTTACTTATTAGAGAAAGGTTATGCCAGAGTATCTGAGCGCATTGTCTGAGCGCTGCTCGGTCTGAACGTAGTTCAGATGGTGCGCGCGCAGCTTGGCCCGAGATTCCATCGAGGAGCTATCCAAAGGGCGTTCAGCCCGTTACATTTACTCTGCCATTCTCTGTAAAGTCTCTAAAGACTTCTACAAGGTCTAGTAAACTAGTTTGCCTAGTAGGGTTGTTTTTAGCTAAGTTAGCTACTTGGATTACTAGGTTTCTAGCAATCTCTAAGGCCTCCTTAATAGAGGTTGCCTTTGGTGTTTTCCCTACTGTAGGGTATCTTGGCACTGCTCCAATAAATGGAGAGAAATTGCTCCTTGTCCTAGTATGGGTAGGCCTAGGCGGTTCTTCTAGTTGCCTGTTAGGGCAAGGCGTAGAGGCCTCCTTAGCTATCTTAATTTCTAGATTATTATCCATTAGTCGTTTGCTTGTGCCTCTAAGGTCCTTTAAGGCTAGTCTTTTTTTATTATTTTTATTATTTTAATATGTCTGTGTTTCTTGCTAAATTTGAGCTTCAATAAGCTCCTGCGTTCCTATTAGCCCCTCTGGTCTTGGTATTACAGTGCCCGTGCACCAGATGAGCACCATCGCCAGTTGAGCACCCCCAACAACTTAATATAGTCAACAAGATGAGGCTGTAGAGCCACCACAAATCGTAATAAAATTGCGCAAAGCTAGGATTATACTATATATAGGCCTACGAAAGTTTTGGCTTATTTAGAAATTTTTTTGGAGGGCGTTATCGGTCGTTGCCATCGACTACGCGGTGGAGCAGCTCGTGCAACCCTTGCGGCTCCCACCACAGCTAGAGCAACACCACCACACTTTTGACGCTTTGTAGCTGGCTTATGAGGTTTTGACGCTTTGCGCTTACCCGATTGGGGCAATTGTATAGCTTTGGCAGCGTCGCGGAGGCTTCTACGATGCTCTCTTTCGGCTTTCTCTGCAGCCTTCCGCTTTCTGGTCTCCTCCCGAACCCTTCTC